AAACACATGTAGCTATATTTCTTTGTATCTTTAAATAGGTCAACAATGGTCGATGAAAGTTTGTCTTCTTAAGCAATGCTGTCGATTGAAATTGAGGTTGCAAGGAAATTAAGTTATGAAGGCATAATAAATGAGTTTGCAAGCATGAAAACACGTCGCAAACCTTTTTTTTTTGATAATTTGCGACGTAATTGTATTGTCTGCGTAATACATTAACAGTATTTAAAAAAACTCTTTACAAGTAAACTCTATATCAATTTAACAATTATAAAATATATTTAATTGAATTTAAGCGTTTATTTGATTGTTTTTAGTTTTATAAACGGCGACGTGAATATATGTCAGGTACCCTGCTTTTCAGGGTAATCTGTAAATTTTATCCACTTTTTTAGAAAAAATAATTTTTTTTTTTTTTGTTCTTTTCTTGAATATTCAATATAGTTATACAATAAGATAGTTGAGATAAAAATCGTTATACAATAAAAGAAAATATATACAAAAAAGAAAGAACGCGGAGACTCGCAGAAGACCTTCAGGTCTTATCATCGAGAACCGCTCGTGAATATTAAGTACATTAAATTAACATGAAGTATAAAATCCAACTATAGTTTTTATCAATATTTATTCCTAAAAAGTTAGTAGTTTGTTCTCTTTTTATTTGAACTTTGTCAATAAAAAGTAAGGGCATCACAGGAAGCAGTAGCTTTTTTTTTGAAGTTTGATGAAAAGTATCCATTTAGTTTTTTCAACATTTAGTGACAGCTTATTCACTTTAAATTAGTCAGAAACTTTTGTTAATTCAATATTCATATTTTGGAATAATGTTGTTATGTTGTTATGAGCTAAAAAAAGATTTGTATCGTCGGCAAACATGACCGTCATTAAATTTGAGGCTTTAGGGAGATCATTAATGTAAATTAAAAAGAGAAGAGGTCCTAGTATAGAACCTTGAGGGACCCCACATGTTATATCTAATAAATTGGAAGAGACAGTTGTATTACTGTAAACAAACTGTTTACGGTTGCTTAAATAACTTTTAAGAATCATTAAAATATTCCCTTTAATTCCATAATACTCTATTTTTTTAAATAGGATTTTGTGGTCGATAGTATCAAAGGCTTTCAATAAATCTATGAAAACACCTAACGTATATTGAGATTTTTCAAAAGATTCAGCAATATTGCGGGTAGTTTGGAGTATAGCGTGTTCAGTTGAATTACTTTTTTTAAATCCGTATTGATATTGATACAGTATATTATTTGAAGATAAATGATTGAAAATTATATTATTTAAAATTCTTTCTAAAATTTTAGAAAAAACAGGCAAAATCGAAATAGGGCGATAATTTGAAACATTGGTTGAATTCCCCCCTTTAAATATTGGTGAAACTCTCGCTATTTTTAAATTGTCGGGTAAAATACCCTGTTTTATTGAACATTTGAAAATTTGAAATAGAATATCTTTAATGACTCCATACGAGTCGATAATAACATTGCAATAAATATCATCATAACCAACTGATTTATTAGATTTAAGCTTTTTAAAAGAAAGTTCAAATTCCTCAAAGGATAACTCAAAGGAGTTTAAGAACGAAGTTATTGGAAAAGCATAATTATTCTATTTGTTTTTCAAGATAGGAATTTGTTGGGCCAGATTAGGACCAACTGATAAAAAATATTCATTTAATTTGTTAGCTATTGCAATTTGATCAAATGATGTTTCTTCATTAATCTTAATAGTTTTAGGCAATGAGCTCGTTTTTAATTTCTGCATGCCAGTGAGTTCTCTTAGAATTTCCCACGTACGTTTCGAATTAAGATTATTTCTATCAAGCAAATTAGAATAGTAATTTTTTTTTTTATTTTTTTTTCTGTCTTTCAAATTCTTTAGCGTATTTTTTATAGAGAACTTTATTTTGTTCGTTTTTGTCTTTAAATATTTTACGTATAATTTTTGTTTAATTTTAGAGGATTTTTTTAGTTCTTTTGTGATCCAAGGTGACATTAAACTTTTAGCTTTTTTATTTACTATTTGTTTTGGAAAATTAGCATCGTATATTTCATAAAACGTTTTAAAAAACGTATTATAAACTAAATTAGCGTCAGCACATGTATCTATTTGTTTCCAATGAAGATAAGATAATTGTTCTTTAAATGTTTTTAAATTATCATTAGAAAAAAAACGTTTTTTAAAAGTTTGTTTTTGTTGAGATATTATATCTGCGTCGATATTAATAGAGAAAAAAAAAAGGAAGTGGTCCGAGACGTCACTTTTAATGATGCCTTTTTTTAGAGATTTATTGAAAACATCAGTTGTTATAATATTGTCAATTAAGGTTTTTGATGTAGGAGTTATTCTTGTTGGTTTGTTAATTATGGGAAAAGCACCGAGTTCAAATAACTCGTTATAAAATTTTTTAACGCCATAATTAGTGTGGTATTGGTAACAATCTAAATTAATGTCACCTATTAAGTAGTATAATTTATTTTCACAAATGCTTTTTTTTAAAATATCATTTAAAAATAAATTAAAATTTTCTATACTGCCCGAAGGTGGGCGATAACAAAAACTTATAATTAAATTTTTTGTTTTTTTGTTTGTTTGGATTTCAACTGTTAAGACCTCATTATCGTCATCAGAATTGCTCATGTCAGGCCTGATAATATACTGCAAATATTCTCTAATATAAACTATTAAACCTCCGCCTCGCTTTCCATTTTTTCTATCCAAAGAAATTATATTGAAACCTGGTAAAAAAATACTTGAATTCAAATTAGAGTTATTAGAGTTACACCAGGTTTCAGACATGCAAATTAAACTAAAAATATTAAGAGATTCTTTCATGCTTAAATAGAAATTTTCAAAATTCTTTGATATGCTTCTTATATTAATATGAAAAGTGTTAAAATATCTACAGTTAAGAAACTCTTTTATTTCGTCGGCATAGTAATAGGAGCAGTTGCTTTGTAAAGCATGTGCTTCACAAAAGTAATTTAAGTCCGGATCTGATTGGTTATTAAATAAAAACTCATCAGTTCGGAAAAAATTATAACTTAATTCAAAGTCGTTTAAATTATTGGAATCCATTTTACCATTTTAGAAAACCATAAAATAAAAGAATTTCCTTTAATCGCGCGTTATTAACTTATTATATACAACCTTTGCATATTTACCTTTTATTCGTAAATCTTTTGCAGCCGTAAACAATTTCTTTCGCAATTTGGTTGTCCTTTCGCTGAAATCTTCGTTCACATATATTCTTTGATTCCAAAGTTTCGTCTTTATATATTTACCAAGCACTGTTGATTTGTCCTTAAAATTTAAAAATTTGACCACGATAGTTCTGCATTTTTTAATTGTATTATCATTATCATTTTTTCAACTCTATGAGCTCGTTCAATAATGAATTCACCTTGAAGATCAAGTTTTTTTTTTATTAATTCACGAACTTTACTTTCACAATCGTCCCAACTTTCATCAACTGATTCTTCTATACCGGATATCCTTAAATTGTTTCTCCTACTTCGGTCTTCAATCTCAGCCAATTTGTCTCTCAAATTAATGGTTAAACTCTTTTCTAGGTTTCTATCTGGTTTTGCGCAATCAGCCTTCAATCCTTCTTGTTCAATTATTATTTTGTCGTATTTTTCGCTAATAAATTCGACAGCTTTTTTCAATTCGCTTACTTCAGTTTTAAGAATTTTATTGTCTTCATTCAACTTATCAATCTGTTTTTCCAATCTTTCAAATTTTTCATTAAATATTTTCATCATTGTGTTCTCATGAATGTCTAATATTTCTTTTAATTGAAAAGCCGAAAAATTTTTCGCCATTTTTATTTTGTAATTAAAAACACGTCCGTTCGCGGTGAAACGTGAATTGAATAATATTAAATAAAATATTAGGGCCCAAATGTTTAGTTTTGGGGAAGGCCCCGGCACTGAGTTCTTTTTCACTACCACGGCACTGGCTTCTTTTTCTAACTTGTTTATTTTGTTTAAACTTTCCGCCGATTTGTTTTCAATTTGGCTTAATCGATCATATATTATTTTTAAATTGGAGCTTAAAATCTCAACAAAGTTTTTTTTCTTCTTGCTTCAGCATAATTTCAGTTTTTTTTTGTATTCGCTGAACATTTCTGTCAACATTTTCTTTATGTCTGATTCTGTTACTGCCATAATAATCTTTTTGATTTGCTGTCTACAAGGTGTGATTTCAATAAAAAAATTTAAATATATTAGACACTTTCTGTCTAAGTACAATTTTATACTTTATTACTACGATAAGAATGGATTCAAAAATTAAATAATTTTTCAACGTGGTTAATTATGTCGCCTTCTTTAAGCTATATATATATATATATATATATATATATATATATATATATATATATATATATATATATATATATATATATATATATATATATATATATATATATATATATATATATATATATATATATATATATATATATATATATATATATATATACGTATATATGTGTGTATATACACCCTCCCTGCCCGAAGAAGATGATTTTCAAGTTATAGTCGGTTTTTTACGAATTTAGTTGGCTAGTCAGGTATTTGACACAGTTCAGTCGGGTAAATTATTGTTTTGAGAACTTTTTTTTTTTCTGAAGCCAGTCGGTACTTTTTGATGATCCACCGCCCCGCCCTCATGTAACATTGTTTGTTTAACATTTTTTAAGTTGTATACATTTTTAAAAGTGTACATCTATATGCGTGTGTATACATTTCTACGCGAGTACATACTAGGGTGACCCTTAAAATAACTTTTTTGAGAAAAACCTGCTCCCACCCCCTAAATGTGTTTTGTCTAATACAAAAACACTAGTTTTAAATTTTTTTTGAATAAAAAATTATTTAAGGGGTCCCTCAAGACACTCGAATATTTAATGGGTCCCTAATATTTAAATAAAAAAAGGTTTTTCAAATATATGTCAACTTGGTACTCAAATGAAGCAAAACTATTCATTTTGAAATTCTATTATATCTTATATTATATCTATATCTAACCCTAATATTTTATCTACAGTATATTGATGATAAGATGTATCTTTTAATGTCAAATACCAATCATAAATACTTTCATTGATCATTTTATCTAAATAAATATAGATTTTTCAGTCATCATTTTAAACTAATATATAAATTTATATAAATTTAATATATGTAGTATTTATATTGTATATATGATATAATGTGAAATAAGTAAAAGACTTTGAAATAAATTGAAATTAGTTAAATACTTTATTAATGATTAAATGATTACTTTAAAATTATATATAATATATATATATATATATATATATATATATATATATATATATATATATATATATATATATATATATATATATATATATATATATATATATATATATATATATATATATATATATATATATATATATATATATATATATATATATATATATATATATATATATATATATATATATATATAATTTTACCTCATAGATTCCACACCATGGAGAAAATTAACTTCAACTACTCGTTAAAAAATATACCAATACCAAACAAAACCAGCTATAAACTGCAGCTAATAGAAAAAACAGAAAACTTCATCCGCTGGAAAACATTTTTTTATTTAAACAAAATTAAAGTAAACCAGTCAAAACAAATGAAACTTTTGGGTTCAAAACGAATAACACGCCACCTCCGTGCAAAGAATTGGAAAATTTTGAAAACGGTTTACTCAATTAAATAAACCTTATAAAATTTAAAAAGATACACAGCGAAAATTAAAAAGAGTCATATTAAATATAAAAACCAATCCTAACGTATTATTATTCGCTGACAAAACAAATAATTTTTACCAAATTTCCACTCAGGAACACACTAAACTTCTTAACAAAAATATCACAAAAGCGTATAAAAAAGCCCTAGAGAAACTCGAAAACTCAATTAACCTCGAAGCCAAAAATATAGCAAACACACTTAACTTAAGCAAACGAATAAAAGTGATCGCAAAATCTGAAGCTTTTATTACACTAAAAGACTACAAAGATTCATTCCAAAATAATAAACCCTGCCGTATATTGAACTCCACTAAAAGTGAACTTGGTAACATAAGCAAAAAATACCTTGACACTATAAGTAAAAAAGTAAGAACCACATTAAATTTAAACCAATGGAAAAATACCACTGATGCAATCAAATGGTTTGAAAATAAGCAGCCGTGGCGCAGTGGTAGCGCACTTGCCTCAGAAACGTAAGATCCGTGGTTCAAACCCCACCTCTGGAAAAGTTTTGCGACATCGGTTGGGAAGGAGGCGTGAACTTCCTATTAAATGCTCTTCCGCGTTGCTCTGTGATAAGACCCTAAAGACTTCTTGGGGCACCTGAATCAACTTTAAAAAAGTATATATATATAAACCAGAAAAACAACATTGTGTTTTTATTCAACTTGATTTTTACCCCACTATTACATCAAAAATACTAAGTAATGCAATACTTCTTGGGGCACCTGAATTAACTTTAAAAAAGTATATATATATAAACCAGAAAAACAACATTGTGTTTTTATTCAACTTGATTTTTACCCCACTATTACATCAAAAATACTAAGTAATGCAATACTGTTTGCAAAAAAACACACAAGTATTAGCGAAGAGAACATCAGAATCATTAAACATTGCATTAAAGTCCATGCTATTTTTTAACGGAGAAACATGGAGGAAAAACTTAGCACACGTTTGCTTTGATGTCACAATGGGTTGTTTTGACGGTGCAGAAGTTTGTGAACTGGTGGACCTATATATATTAGACTCACTATCTAAAATTATAAATAAAGAAGACGTTGGACTATCGTGACGATGGTTTGATGGTACTTCGTAAAAAAACTGGATCACAAACTGATAGCCTACGAAAAAACATAATTAAAGTTATTAAAATGATCGGTTTTAAAATAGAGATCCAAACAAACCTACCCGCAGTCAACTTCTTAGATATCTCTTTTAACTTAGAAAAAAACTCCTACCAACCTTTCAAAAAACCAAATTAATATCTACGTTACATCCACACTGATTCCAACCATCCTCCGCAAATAATAAAGCAAATTCTCAACTCTATCAACAACAGACTATCACAAAATTCCTCAAATGAAAAAGCATTTAATTTTTCTATGCCAGAATACGAAGATGAATTAAGAAGAAATGGTTTTACTGATTTTAATTTAATGTATAATCCCCAAAAAAGAGAAAAAAAGAAAAGAAAAAGAAATATAATATGGATCAACCCCCCGTATAATAAAAGCGTTTCTACCAATGTCGGACATATTTTCCTAAATGTGACAGATAAAAAATATGGCGGATAAAAAAAAAAATTAAAAAATAACAACCAAATTAACCTAGTCAAGTCCCCGCCTACAGCAACGTAACAAAAAAATGCTTGCTTTGCCTTCATGAAAAACTTTGCATAATATCATACAAAGGTACGCAAGAATTTTTAAATATTATTATATATATATTAATATGGTACTTAGATATTATTTCTGTTTTTTTATTTAATATATCTGATAATATGAATACGCTAATTTAATATTATTATTATTAGTCGAGTTACGTCATTTCCTAGGCTTTTCTATTTTAAAGTAGTTTCTAGGCTTTTCTATACGCGGTTTTTTTTTTAATTTTTTTTACTAACAACGCGTATTACGGGTTGCTTACTGCTAGTATATATTAAATAAAAAAACAGAAATAATATCTAAGTACCGTCATAAAAACAAGTTCTTGCTTGACAACCACGAGCCCAAAGATTAAAAAACCAAACCACGCTTTCAAATAGTAACATTTTATAAACGTCACGATGTTATTATATAGTATATTTTTTAACGTAAAAATCAATGTATTTTTATCTGATGATTGCTAAACGCATCAAACTTTTAGTAGTAAAAATAATATAGTTATTTTTTTAATCTCGTCAAAAAATCAGTTATATATAGAGTAAAATGGGGTCAAGTGGGATAGTTAAGGATTTTAATTATTAATTTTTTATGGGAATAAGATTTTTCCTTTTTTTTTTTTTTAAAGTTGTAGAGAGTATTGAGCTGTATTTAAATATATAACATTTTAAAAATTTTTTTGTAAAGTGTTTTTTGTAAAGTGTTGGATGTGTTTTTATTCTTGGACACCTACATAACATCATTTTTTGCGTTTTTTGGCCGAAGTTTTTTCCGCGATAAAATGTCATGTGATAAAACTCCCTAATATTGGCGGTCAACCATTCCAGAAAGGACCAACTTGATTTTCAAAAATTGGTAAAATATGAATCAATCTAATATATATATATATATATATATATATATATATATATATATATATATATATATATATATATATATATATAATATATATATATATATATATATATATATATATATATATATATATATATATATATACATATATTATATATTATATATATATATTTTATTGATACTTACTAACAATTATCAAATTATATATATATATATATATATATATATATATATATATATATATATATATATATATATATATATATATATATATATATATATATATATATATATATATATATATATATATATATATATATATATATATATATATATATATATATATTATTGATATTTACTAAAAATTATCAAATCAAATTATAAATTATATTTGTTTACTGATTTTATTTTAGCTCCAAATTTGATTAACAAATCATTCAGAGAAATCACTGGACCATGGAATTTAAACCCGCGTAATAAAAATGCGTAATAAAACTCAGAAAAATCATGGGGATCAAATATAAAATATAAATGCTGTTATGATTATAAACTTGTTTTTACAAATAATTAAATACAAAAAAGAAAAGATTATTATATTAATAAACAATACAATTTAATACCGTATGATATTTTGTGATGCAACAGATGATGTTTAATAACTAAACGTCAATATATTTTATACATACGTATAAAGTATAATCCAAACAAAAAAGGTGTTATGAATTTTACTAAAAGTCATTTATTACAAACACAAATAGTCGCGAGTTATTCAGGATCAGAATTTAATTAACACTTAATTTTTAAACATGTTTAAATATTTTTAAATAAAAATCCTCGTTAAGTGTTAATTAGATCCTCATTTAAGCTCATAAAAGACATTAAACTAGAGTAAAACTCCAGTGAAATCAACGTGATTTTGGTTTAGTTCTGATAGCAGCGAACACGTGTCTATAAGTGTTTTTTTTTTTCCGAAAGTGAAACTATATGTGCCTGCTGGGATTGAATAAGAAACGAGTCCTTCTTTTGATAAAACAAAAAAAGTGTTCTCTAATTTAATGATTAGAATGTAATAAGAATATTGTTTAATCGTTACTGGTTTTACATAAGAGTATTGTTTAATTGTTAAATATATAATCGGGTATGGATATTTTTTTTTTAGGTTAGATATAATCTTTTCGTCGATATAACTTTTTTTACAAAACTGTTAACGTAAAAATTGACTGAAACGATGGTCTTATCATCTTCAGTTATATTTTACAATCAATATCAATAAAACATAAAAATTTAGATAAATAAGAAATTTGTAGCACATAACTTGTATAATTAAAATAGCCAAGAAAATGTATCTTTATAAATATAAATACTAGTAAATGCATTTTTATAAGTATAACCATAAATGAAATAAATTCGAGACGTGTAAAAGTTTTAAAAATAAGAAATTGTTTCAGTAATGTTGAGGTCAAGTAACTGTTGTTTAACAACGCATTTAAAATGTTGAATCGAGTTTACCATTTAAGGTGATACATAGGTAAATAATACTAAAAAAATCATTTTTTTTTTAAATTATACTTATTTTATTCAAAAATCAATCTAGATTCTATTTATCGTAATAGCTTTCAATAAAACCCTCTGTAAAGGCCTAAAAATTAAAATTCTATACAAGTAGCTTATTTTCAAATCATAGCAACACCCTTAGCAACAGCATTTCACCCTCACCCTAACCCTATAAAAAGTGGTCTATCCTATTGATTCTGTTTTCATTGTACTTTATGTAAATACAGTGTTTTTGTAGCTTTATATTAAGTCATTATTAAACGACTAAATGATATCATTTCAAACCACTCATCACGAATATAGCCAGCTTGTTGGCTTTGATGGGTAAGTGAAAGATACTATGACTCAAAATGAGGTTTGATTTTTCAAAAAAACAAAGAGCAGATATATTATTGATTTGGGGAGAAATGTAGGAGAGTACTACTACATTGACTAATTTATGAATAACATGCAAAAGAATGCTGCTACATTGACTGAGGGTTCGGGTTAGGGCAGGTATAGAACAATCGATGTAGCAGCACTCTCCCGCATTTCTCCCCAAATCAGTAATATATCTGGTCTTTGTTTTTTTTGAATAATCAAAAAAAGGTTTGAAGTAACAATATTTTTTCTGAACTTTTTCATATTGTTATCATTTTTTTATGGGTTCTTCTAAAAGAAGAGAAAAAAGTAGATCATCTGTTTGTATGCCAAACAAACCATCCCCAAATAAACAACCACGGATGACAAAAGAACCTTTATCTTTGATTCGTCTTAAAAAATCGCTGTGGGCTTGTAACGTCAGTTCAAAATGGAAGATCACATTTCTGGTGAAGGAATATAGAGAAACTAGAAAGCTTGATAAAAAATTAAGTCGTTCTTCTCTGAAATCCTTCGAATTTGCTCCTGCAAATGATAAGCGCAACCCAAAAAACCTATTTTCAAACATAAATCTCAACTATGCGAATCACCAGTTTCAGTAAAATTATTAGCTCTGAAAAAATTAAAATAGTTAACTCACTTAATAATCAATTTCAAGCAGTATTTAGCAAAGAGCCATCCAATGACAATCTTCCCCATTTTGATTGTAGAACTAACACAATCTTTAACAGCATAACTTTTGACACTTAGGCCACTCTAATGGAACTCTCATCACTAGATATATCTGAATTACTTGGTGAGGACAATGTCAATCCTCGCGTTTTACGCTTTTGTTCTACGTCAATGTCTACTCCACTTACTCTCATTTTTCAAAAGTCATTTGACAATGGTGAAATTGCAAATTCATGGTCCAAAGCAAATGTAACACCTTTATTTAAGAAGGACTCCAGAATCAACCCATTAAACTACAGACCAATATCTCTCACTTCGATTCCATGTAAAATAATGGAGAAACTAGTAGTGAAGGCAATCATGCAGCATCTAAAATCAAACAATCTTTTATCAAATAGTCAACATGACTTTTTAGAGAAAAAAGCATGTATTACAAATCTCTTTAAAACAATGACTTCTTGACTAAAATATGGTCAGAAAACAACCAGTTGACGCCATATTCTTGGATTTTACCAAAGCATTTGACAAAGTGCCACATTAACGAATGCTTTACAAACTAAAAATGTACGGAATCGCAGGTAATCTTCTCAATTAGATAAAAGCTTTTCTACTTAACAGGTCTCAACGAGTCATCCTTGGTGACACTCAATCGAATTGGTTACCTGCGACAAGTGGGGTTTTGCAATGATCAGTCTTGGGTCCAATTTTATTTGTCATTTTCATCAACAATCTGTCGGATCTAATAAGCAAAGAAAACAGTTATTAGATCTACGCTGATGACACTAAAATCCTGAGCATTGTCAACTCACTTGCTGCTCAACTTTAACTCCAATCAGATATTGGCCAAATTTTTCATTGGACTAAGTCTTGGCTCATGGAGCTAAATGCAAAGACATGCAAGGTTATGCTTTTTGGCCAAAAAAAATTAACTCCTTTCGAGTACTCAATGGAGGAATTGGGCCCTTGTTCAATAACGACTCAAACTATATTGGAAGCAACTACCTTTGAGCGTGACTTGGGAATTAAAGTTACCAATGATCTTAAAGTAGAAACCCAGTCCATCATTGCCTCATGTAAAGCAAATAAAATGCTAGGCATCCTAAAACACACTATCATATCTCGTGATGCTTCTTTATGGAAACAATTCTACTCCACCTACATCCGTCCTTTACTTGAGTTTAAATTCCAGCTTGGAAGGATGAACGAACTATTTAGCTAATACAGCGCAGAGCCACAAAAATACAAGATAAATAATCTCCTCAATAATCTCCAATGTTACTACGCTTTTAACTTTCCTTAGTGAAAATTGCAATATCAGCTTAACAAAAGCTAACTGTAATCTGACAATATATGACTTGTATTTTGTCAATTATTTTTACTTTTGTTGTAACAAATATATACTACTACTACTACTACCACTACTCCTACTACTACTACTACTACTACTACTACTACTACTACTACTACTACTACTACTACTACTACTACTACTACTACTACTACTACTACTACTACTACTACTACTACTACTACTACTACTACTACTACTCTACTACTACTACTACTACTACTACTACTGCTACTACTACTACTACTACTACTACTACTACTACTACTACTACTACTACTACTACTACTACTACTACTACTACTATTTCTA